GCGTTCATCGATTACGATAAAAACCAACAGACTTTAATTCCTTGGACAATACTACATAAGGTAGGAAAACATCAATTCCAATGTAGGAAAAAAACAAAACAATAAAAAAATGACCTTTTGGAAACTTGGCCAAAATCCCAATTTGCCTTGAAATTCTTTAGAGCTTCTACCATGCAAATAAACCCGATCATAACAACGTTATCGTCATCTTGCAAACAGTCGTTGTTGTACGTCTGACAAGCATTAAATCGCAAGATTCCTCAAGAAATGACTCTTTTAAAGCGAAAACTCGTTAATAAAGATTGAAAAGAAGACGCGTTTTATGTAAAGGATAAATTAGACGCGTTATAGTGTTAAATTAGGATATCCACATATGGCTTAAACTTTCTCTATAGATTATTATAGTGGCATGAGTTACGACTAGGATTATCAACATAATGAAATCTAAGCATGACTATAACAGCTCCTGCAACCACAATACACCTCAAGGAGCCTGACAGTCAAATTACAATAAAAAGTCAATTATTTTCGATTAGTAGCAATTGTAATTATGTATCTAATTACAAATACTATAAGTATAACCTCATGTTATTACAAAGAAGCGGCAAATTAGCACAAAACTGATAATTTATGTGAGTCGAGTCGCGTACCGCTTTGTAGAGATGGTGGTAGAAACTACAATTTGGTAATTATGATTGGAAATTGCATTGTAGCTGCCGGCTGGGTTTGACAGTGATTCTCTTATTATGAGAATTATTATGGATGATTACCAGTTTACACACTTTTAGCTACGAACCATTTACGCCGTAGAACGAATAACTTTGCCATCTTAATTAAAATATACAAATTACACGTTCCTGCATTACCGATTAAGTATGACGTGCCGGCGCGGGAAATTTGAAATGGCGGTAGTTGAATCCAATTAACCAAATGACCGGTTACAGTGTAGAAGATGGTAAAGTGCTCATTAAAATTTCCTAAATGAATATTACCAAATTGCAAAAACACGACAAAATTGGGCCTATTTTCATAATTGCAATGCCAATATTCATTATACAGTTCTTGCAACTGCCATTATGCTATTACCGCAAATTGTTCCAGTCGAGTTTTTAAGGTGGCACAATGTAATATTTAGCGATTTTTTCGAAATTGCAACGTCGGTTAGTTTTTCTCATTAGCAATATGAAATTTTGTTCAATTACGTTTAAACCATCAGACGCGGTGGTTTTCCGAATGAGCGGATTTTTTTCCAGAGCTGCCGTTCGATCAGATAGAGATGTTGATGCCTCAGCACTGCCGTAATTGACCTTAAATTACTTTAATGGATGTCGTTTAAGATGATATGGTGTGTTTTACGGAACGCTTTTAATGGCGAAAATTCCTTTTTTTCAGAGAATTTCGTACGGTATAGCACATTACATGCGAGAGATGGCAACCTTAATTCGCACGAAACAATCAAAAACTGCGTGTCTAACGCTCAAAAAATCACACAATAACCATTCGGAGACAGCGAATTCATTACAGAAACGTGTAATTGACGCGTAATTTCGACATTAGCCTCGATTACGGCTTCGCGAAATTTACTACCAGCTAGAAACCGCATTTTTTAGCACCTGTACCACAACCTTAAATATCTCAGCAACAGTGGGACTATGGGTTAGAATAAAAGCTAATTACTAATCAGTAATTCAGAATGCTATTTAATGTTAAAAATAATTAATAATTTGTTCAATAATTCAAATATGTACAAACAAAAAATTAAATTAAAACTCCCAACTTCCTAAAAATTTAAAATAATTCTTTCATATTCAGGCCTTTTGGAACATAATGGAAGGGTAAAATACATATAGTATTCCAAAATAATAAATCATATCACAATTTCAGCAAAAAAAATACAATTTTGCTTTCTCAAATAATTTAAAAAAAAATTAAAACTAAAATGTTAAAAGGTAAAGTCGTCCAAAAAAGTAAGGTCAAAAAAGAACATAGAAAAACGTAAGAAACGTAACGTAACTTTAGACCAGAAATTAAGTAATAAATAGGTATAAATAAAAAGTAATAGCGTAAACATAAATATGTAGATACGTTTTTAAACGTTTGCAAATCGCAAATAAAATTCAAGGTGATTCACGAGGAATAATGAGCCTGACCAAATTCTCGATGCAACCACCATTACTTTTCGCAAGTTATTTTGCGACAACTGTAATGTTGGTTGCATCGAGTTTTTATCAGACTCATTATTCCTCGTGTATCATGCTGTATGTAGGTATGTAGGTAAAAGTAAACGATAAGAATTAGTTGAAAAATGTATAATAATTATGTGTATACAAGGAGATTTTTTAACCCAGAACATGTGTTCTGTGTTCAATTTGAAAAAACACCGATAAATCTATTGCAGTCATTCAATGATAAGTCTCAGTATCCTGCTACAATATTTAAGAGCAACAAAATAAAATAAAAATATATTATTTAAATGATGACAATGACAAAACGGCAGAGAAATTACATGCAGACCGGACCATCTCTTGGGTGATGATAAAAAACATATAACTGAGTTAAATGTTCCCATGACAAAAATTGTTTAAGCCTTTTTTCACGATACTTATATAGCTCTCCAAATGTTAGACTTTGTTAAGTTTTTGTTAAGTTTTGTTAAGTTTTTGGCCGTTCAGATCATGTAATCGGCATATTTTGCAACACTGAACAGATACCTGTTGAAAAAAATCACCAATTTTTGTCTTTTAATGTACAAAACATTTAATGAGCAAATTCAACAATAAATTAAATCCTACAACATTGGAAACAAAAGAAAGATGCCTACATGACAATATGGAAATTGACAATTCTGTTTACCTCAAAAAAGGCTTCACCATGAGAGTTGGTCCAACACTTTTTAATCACCCTGTCCAAGTGTTCATAATAAATAATAAAAATACCATCCATGATGTTATTGCCACTATTGCACTTTAATCCTTTAATCCCAAATTTTTCAACCCGTGGTGGAACTGACCATAGGGATTTTCGAACCCACCGCTGGCGTGGGGAACTGACAAACACCCAAAAATTGATGTTATAGCAAAAATCTTTCTGAAAACAATAATTAAAAAATTAAAACTTAAATTTTTGCTTCGCCCCATTTTTTTTATTTTTTTTTGTAAAGGTTGCAAATATGAATAAATATTTAAAAAAATGTGAAGGACAAAGTTGTAGAAAATTAAATTTGCACCATACTTTATCTCCAACAATTTATGTTTTAATGGCTTCTTGGACACGCCACTACTAGGCGAAATATTTTCATCACTAAAGTACCTTTGACTGTAGAGTTGAAATCGTTAAAGATAGTGGTAATTCTCTACCACTTTGTTCTTTACACTTTCTTTAATCGTATGTGCAGCGTTTCAAAAAAAAAAGTCAAAAACAGGCGACAAAGCAAAAATTAATGTTTTATGTTGTTTCTGACCGTAATTTTTTGTCTGTTTTGTTATCATCTTCATTTAAATAAAGCAACTTTTATTTCGTTGCTCGTATTAAATTATAGCCACGATACTGAGACTTTCATTGAATAACAGCAATGGATTGATCTGTGTTTTTTTAAACTGAACTTAAGGCTATGTTCAGATTTAAAAAATGTCGCTGTATAAAACACTTAAAGACGTAAACACAAGAAATAACATCAAAATGTAAGCGTAAATCATTTAAAATAATTTAAATGCTAACTTTTTCTTTATGTATAAAAAAAAAACATAAAAATAAAATAGACTAAACTAAATAGGTACAGCGCGCCCAGAAAAGTGGTAGCAACTTTTACACAAAGTTCACAAGATGGCACTTTCGAAAAGCCAAATTTGTTCAATTATTCTTTCCCAATAAAAAAAATTCCTTAGTTGTGTCTCAAGTAAAATATCACAAAAGCTGCTTATCGTAGACAAAAAAAATACCTGCAAATAGAAATCCTTATGCAGTTTCAACAAAAAAAAAGTCTCCACAACTTTCTTCAGAGCTTTATAGAAAATGTATCTACTTTTAACTTTAAAATTCAAAAGCTCGTCTTTTTTCACCTTAGAAAAACTAGTCTCATGTAAATAAAAAAAATTGATCAAAATATGCAGTAGAAATAATAGTTTCACTGCTTACCACAAAATTATCATCTACTTAAAATATTTTTGAAAATATTCATTTGAAAATAGAATCTTTGGTTTGGGTGTAACTGACTTAATTTTAAATCTTTATTATGTTTCTCCGATAAAATTGTTAGTCTACACTGCTTAAAAAAATATTTAAGAATTAATAAACATTTACTTTATTGCTTAAAATTTGTAAGAAAAAAGATTCCTAATCCCATTAAACGATATTTTAAGTTTTAAAGCCAATTCTAACAAGCACATTAAACTTAAATGATACAAGTCTCGAGTTGGATGTAATAAAATCCACTACACGAAATAAATTGCTACAAAAAAATAATTCTTGAAAAAAAATCCTATACAGTTATTAAATCTTCTTTCAGCTCTTCCCATAGTTATCTCATTTGTTTAATTATGATGATTTCCTGGCTTTAACTCCATACTTTCTAATCCTTACAAAACAAGCTGAAATTACTTTCCACAATAACCCTTGTAAAATTAAATAAAAGGTGATTAAAAATTCCCCTCGCCAAAACCGGACACTTAGATTGCTATCACTCAAGAATTCCCAACTAATCCCTCACTCTAATCCATAAATTAAATTAAGTTAATTAAAACTAAAAATTCGTAATCCCCCATTTATTGGACAGGTGTAACCGTACTAAGAGGATTAAACCATTAATTCTTCCGTCACAAACAAATATTTTTGTAAAACAAGTCCCAATTTAACAGTTTGAAGTCTTCATCGGGGTCTAATTGCCTCTGAATGACACAGCAGCCACATGCTGACCCCTTAATGTAATCCGAGAGCCATAGTGGCGCCACAAAAGAATTTTTTCTCTGTAAAGAAAAATTTTGCAGGGCATGTAATTAACCTCTCTTGTTTGAACACCTTATCTCTACCTTTGACCCCCACAAACGCTTAAATAGGAGCGACAAGACCATCAAAGGTCACTTCGATAATGGACACACAAAAGATACAATTGGTAAGCAAAAAATCTAACTTTTCCGAATTTTATTTTTGTTTTTAGTTGAGATCGTATTCGAGGATTACGATCATCTCAACTACGTCTTACAATGACGGTTACTCTTCCGCTTCCGGTTTGGAGAAATTCCTCCCAAGGACTTCGACTCCCGATCCTGAAAAATATTTTCTTGTGGATAACAAGGACTGTTTCGACTCGTACGAAATTTTCAGACATGTCCTTGAAAATCCTCCGAAAAAAGTGAGAGTGCGAGGGATGAAAAAAATCCCGTTTGACTTCATATCCGGGCATTTGGTGGATTTTAACATTACCCGGAATTCGAGAAAAATGGCAACGTTTCACAAAAAACTGAAAATTTTTTTCAAGAAGTGTTACAAAATTTTAATTCGGCAAAAATGTGACTATTCGTGCCCCATGACTTGTGAGTGCCAAAAAATCAAAAGTTTTCTCAACAAAACTCAGTATCTTGACGATGATTCACTCCAGAATGAACTATAAAAATTAATTTCGTTTTAATTATTGTGTTTGTGGAAAAATTTCATATCTATGATCTTAATGTGTGCCGAAATTTACATAAAACGTGTAATTTGACTTAAATAAATTCGATTTATCTTTATATCTTCATCCGTATTTGCACATGGTTTAATTTAATTATGTTGAAAAAAAATATGAGATTTTATCAGTTATAAACATAACATTGCCATGAAATGTCTAATTTTATTGTAAATAATGAGCATTGTTTGAAAAAAATGAAGACGTCATTGACGGCGCCGATATCGGGGCTTATAAGGGATCAATATTTATTCAGAAATTTAAATAAATATTTAATTGATGATTACTTGTCTTTTTCACTCTACTCTGACCCAAAATTTCAAGGCTGAGACTAATTTGCCCCCTTCAACCTTAAAGGAACAAATAAATACTATGCAACAGAATTTAAAAAAAAACTGAATTATTGGTTCAGGCAAATTAATCTTTCAAATTCAAGTACTTGTCTTATTTTACTTTAGAAAGCTCATTTCTATCAAAAAAAATTCAGTAAATACTAAATAAACAGCAGAAAATATGCAATTTAGTAAAATTTAATAAGTTAATGTAATTCGTATTCGTAAACTTAGTAGCACAATTATTAAAAAAAATTCTTTACAAAAATTATACTTCCCAGTATAACTGAATTTTCTGTGAAAGTAGTTTTCTCCTGGCTTTCGAAAAGTACCCCCCTCCCTTATTCCCGGACGAAAAGTTGATAAATGCCTTCGAAAGTACTAAAAAATGTATTCTTTGAGAGTAACTTGAACTTGCCACAAGTCTTCCTAAATGGCCCTTCAGAGAAGTTCTTCCCCAATCAGATCCGTCTCCCGTTTTTCGAATTGTGATCCTAATTGCGACTGCTGTGTGGAGTACAAAAGTTTTGTGGAGAATCACCGAAATCCCAAAAACTTGGACAAAGTTATGAAAATCCGAGGAGGAAATAGAAGAGCCCTTCGAGGGATAATCGCAGGAAATCTCCAGTCATTGCAGGATTGTTTTGATTTAAAACGAAACTCTGTTGTTGAAGTATATTTTTCTACACCAAGCACGAATTTGATGTAATGCTATTCTAATTGTTGTAATAAAATGTTTATTATATGTTTTTCCGTTTATTATTTATTTTGAGGCTTAGAGAGTTAATATACACAAACATGAGTAATAAAAGTAGTTTTCTTGAGTTTACAAACAGATAATATTTTCTTGAAGAAATATTTGATAAACAAGAGTGGGGCTTACAATAACTTCTAAGAAAATTGGTTTTTGGATTAGTTCTGCTTGTGCTACTACATGAGTAAGTTTATCTCTATTCTTAGTTAAAAATTAGTTATTTTTCTTTATTTCATTAGAACAAAAATGGCTCTACAGAGAACATCCACTCCGGTTTTTAAACGCCGCAATGCTTCAAATCTTTGCGATTGGAATTGCTCTTGTTGCAGAGACTATAGAAACTTCGCCACAAATATTCAAAATAGTTGCAAAGAAACAATGAGGATCAAAGGTGTTAAAACAATGCCTTTTGAGGGAATCATTGCTGGGAATATTATGCTAGATTACCCCCAGACTTATTTTGACTGTCTTATACGTTGCGATTTCAAAAGGTTTATTGGAAAATTATTTAAAAGAAAATGAAATTGTTTACATGTCCCCCTTGTTGTGTTTATTATTGTTAAAACGGTCACCCAACTGTAAACTTTCACTTTTCGGTAATCCAACCCCTGAGCAAAAGTAGGGATGACACAAGGGGTAAATAAAGCCACCCTTAACTTTCACTTTCACTTAATTGGCAAATTGTCCAATGTAAGTATATCGTCTTAGTTTTCTTGCATTTTTACTAATAACTTTTTTAATTGTTACAGTATTTTCGTCACCATGTCTTTCCCGAGAACTTCAAGTCCAGTTCGTGATCAGGATACAAATTCATCGACTTGTGAATGCTACTGCAGGTATAAAAAATTCGTGGATAATCTGCACTCGGCACCGAATTGCAAAAAACTTCGCATTCGAGGGACCAACCAAGCATTCAAAGGATTCATCAGTGGACAGTTAGTTTTAAGAAATCCGAATTTGGAACGTTTCGACGCTATCGTTAACGACATAATTGACAAATTTCAACAGACGAAGTTGAAGAATCCAAATACGAATCCTTTTGAGGGAGTTACACAATTTTAATTTTTTGTCATGAATGCTGTGATTTATTGCTTTTATTATGTATAGTTGTACAGTTTGTAAATAATAAATAGTTTTATTAGGAATGAAACTGAGTATTTTTAATCTTATAAAAAAACTTTATTTCATGAATAAGATAATTTGTATAAATGTTACCTAGACGAAGTATTAGTAATGTCCATATCAGAGGGCCCATCGTCTTCCGGAGACAAAATATTTCCAACAGTTTCATCCATTGGAACAGCCTCTGAATCCGTGCTTTCGATTAATAATCTTTTTATTGCTATTTCCTTTAGTAGTGCTTTTGCAACTTCTTTTGCCTGAAAATTTGAATCAAAAGTGTTACAGCGTCGCCACCTATGAAAATAAAAATACCCATTTGGATAGCAATGAACAAAAAGATGAAAATGAAGGCAATTAAATATTAATGCAATTTTAAATACAAAAATTAATCATTCAACACATAAATTTTGCACAAAATTTTAATAAAAAAGACTCCAAGACAAAAGTCTCCCAACTAGAAATTCGTCAATAAACATTTTTTTAATTCATAAAATAAAATCTAACTATTATACAGGCGCACATTGGTGTGTATAAATAAATAGTTACAGTGATGGACAGTGAATTTCGTCCACCCAATTTCTGTGAATTCACAAAAATTTACTGTAGTCTGTGCTTTATTGTCATGATAACTGACATTCAAATACGTATTGTCAAATTTAATCAAATTCGAACATGCCAGCAGTAAGTGCGTTTAATAAAATAAAAATTATCTCTCTGGTACAAGAAGGTATGCTTCAAAGACGTGTCTCCGTACTTTTGGGCATACCAAGGACTACCATTTCAAAGGACAAAGGTTAAAAGTAGCAAGAAGCATAGAGCATTCTGTCAACATGACAAACGTTAATCAAAATTCTGAAACAAGATTAGGAAAACTTAAAGACTAATTTATACTTTTAATCTGTCAGGGAAATTGGGTGGACGAAATTCAAAATTAAAAAATTAAAATTAATTAAAAAAGTTAACTGGATGAGTGACCTTAGACGATTTCGACGATATTTTTGAGGTTAAGAGAATTAACTTTTGGCTCGTTATGTTACGGCCGTATGGAGCCCAGCGGAAGACAGATGAAGTAGGCCATGCTTCCACATAACAAGTTTTCAATTCGAATTTGATATAACCCACAAACATGACAGGGACGAATACTGCCAACGTAACAGACAACAACCCTCTGTTCAAAAATGGTAGTCCTCTGAGCCTCTGCTTTTTGATACGCATGTTCAGTGATTTTAACGCTTTATAAACTTAAAAAATTTAGATCTATCGCAAATTACTGGAAAATGTATAAATGTTTTGCTAGGAACTTTAGGGATTTTCAATTTCTTGCCCTTAGTTTGGCAGTACTTGACATTTAGCCGTATCGAGAAAATTTCAATTTCGTTACATGAAAACGATAAAAAGACAATTAAAACATTAGAAACCTTCTCATTCTCCAGGCACTTGTTAGCGTAAGTTTTTGCTTCATCCAAATGTCCTCTTTTTAAATGATAATTCGCTAAATATTGGAAAGCGCTGTAAAATTCAGTTTGGTCTTCATTGAACCTTGCCTTATTCTCATCTTCTCTCAAACAATACTCGGTAAACGCGGCTGCCGCGTTGTCTTCTTCTTTCAATTTATCGTAAAGCCTTAAATTAGTTTATTTAAACGATTTATTAATTTGTTGTTACTGTTACTTTGCAAGTTTGATCAAAGCTTGGCCTTCAATATCACCAACTGTGCAAGCCTTGTAGTAACATTTGAGGGCATTTTCAGTCTTTTCCAATTTTTCGTAAGTTTCACCAAGAGCGATAATCATGCGACTGTCATTAGGTTTTAATTGTTGGGCTTGTTTGTAATAGTAGAGACAATAAAAGTACATTTTGAGGATTTCGTAAGTTTGGCCGAGGCCGTACCAAGCCCTATAATCCCGATTATTAATTTCTGTAATTATTAAGTTAGTTAAAGTGTCAAGATTGAGGGATTGCAAATCACCAATAGCGTGTCTATAGCTCTGAATAGCCGCATTTGTGTTTTTCATCTCCATGTACTCGTGCCCCATTAGCGTCCACGCCGACAAAAACTGAGGATTAAGCTTCAAAGCCCGTCGAAAATACAGCACAGCCTTGGCATGATCTGACCTCAAACTGTAATAATTTCCTGAAAAAAATCTTACAAAGACGTTTTTTCTTTTTCAGGATTTCTTACCAATAACGCAACACGTCTCAACCCTGTATTTATCAACCAGGACGACTTTGTGAGCCAAATCCGCCAAATCGGTCTTCATTTCTTGCACATACAAGAGATTCGAGTAAGTATCCAAATTATCTAGTCTGTAAGGATCCACAGTTAAGATCTCTTTAAACAAGTCGATAGCTTGGAACAAATCTGCAAAAATGTCGGAATATTTAAAAGCCCTGGAAATGTACGAACAAATCCCCTCGCCTGCCGCGTCCCAACCCCCGGACAAGAAATTCCAACCCAGACCTGACCCCATTCTACTCAAACTGCACCCTGACCCCCACCCCCTTTCCTCGGAAGAGCAAGTGTTTTTCGTCAAATTGACAGAAGGGGCTTTCGGGTTCAACGAACACGTCCGAAATGAAACTTTGCAAGTTTTGGGGCGCGACTACCATGTCAAATTTTTAGCACCTTATTTGAGTCAGTTTATAAAAGACTCGATTTGTGTCAATATTGCTTTCCCCGATTTATCGCTTTTGATTTATTCGGTACGGATGATCAAAAGCCTGATGGCTAACCCCCATGTTAACATCAAAGAGCACCTTCATTTGTTACTTCCGGCCACTATTTCCTGTGTGGTTTCGAGAAAAATAAGCAAATACAGCTATGACAACCACTGGACTTTGAGGGACTTTTCGGCGCAAGTTGTGGCTACCCTTTGTAGCACTCATAGTAATAAAATCAATCAGATTAAGACTCGGGTTATTAAGATTTATTTGAGAGCGATACAAGACCTCCGGAAGCCCCTGAGCACTCTCTATGGAAGCCTGAAAGGTCTCAGTTGTTTCGGCGAGGAGACAATCAAGACGTGTGTTGTACCCCTTATCCCGGTTTTGAGTCACCGTGTGTGCATGGTTTTGGAAAAAACGGTTTATTTGAGAGACCCTAGTCACGAGACGAAACAAATCAAACGAATCACTGATTTGGTTTTATCGGTTGTGGGGCCCGTGTTGCTCCAATACAAAAATGTAAATGACGGGGGAGTGTCTTACGTTAAGGAATTTGGCTATTTGGGGTACACTTTATACAATCATGTCAAACATTTAGAGAAAGTCGAAGCCGAAAGAAAGAATCATTTCAATGTTTACCTCCTTTGTCGATAATTACCTCGCCGGTTGTGGTGGCCTATTGCGATTTGAGCCATTAGATAAGTACTGTTTTTTAATCCATGTGAATAAAGTTCGAAATAAATTTGTAAAGCTTCGTCGTTGTTCAATTGCTCGAGGTATGCGTGGGCCAGGAAGAAATGTTTCATCCAATGGTCAGGAAGTTGAACTGAGAAAATCTTGTTTTTGTCAGGGATTATTTTGCCGAGTTCGTACCAAGAGCACCACAAGAGGGGCTCCAGATTTACTGACTTGACAAAAACACTGATCGCCAACGAAATCATGTCTAGTTTTTTCACAATAATCCCGTATAAATACAAGCAAAAACCGTCCAATTTATTCTCGTAATAATCACTTTTTAATTCCCTACATAACTCGGTCAAGTCATTGTTTTCCGTAGGATCGGGAGGACAATTCGTGTCGGTCATATTATCCAATTTTTTCTTCTCAATCGACAAATACCGGGCATAGAAATACAAAAATCGTGTCTTGGGTTTTGTGCAATTTTTCAAAAAATGAGCACATCGGTCATACTCCTTCAAGTCGAAGTAGCTTTTAGCCATGAAATATGCTTCCATTTCGCCCTCACAGTCATTTTTAAAGTACATGTTTTCCTCGGAACTGGGTTTTATGTATGCTAGGGAGTAGTGAAGCTCAGATAACCACTTTGCACTATGATTTAAACCGCGTTGTGAGCACGCAATGATGCCCTTCAGCAAATCTTGTTTGATTTGGGGCAAATCTAGCTTGATTTCATCCATTTTTTGCAAAAAAAAACCTCTTTAATCAGACAATTTTCAAATTATTGAGGTTAGGTAAATTTGACTGTTGCCACGCCATACGCATGCGTGCCGGCCATAGGCGTCCCGCTTAAATTTTCGACTAGGGGAAATTTATTTAAAAAATGAACTCAAAGTACCAAATTGTTTTATTTAACAATAGTTTGGCTTAGAATCGATTAATAAACCATTTTTGTATCGCATTATGTCTTTTGACTTTTTTTTGAAGCTGCAAAATCCCATACATCAGCGCTTCAGCTGTTGGGGGACACCCCGGGACGTAAATATCCACCGGAATAATCCGGTTACAACCCCTGTTAAACAACTCTCATGATCAATATTTTAATTTTATTTAAAGTTTTACCTAACGACTGAGTAAGAATAGTGATAATACCCACCCCCATTGGCACAACTGCCCATCGAGATGACCCATCTGGGTTCGGGCATTTGATCGTATACTTTTCTCAAACTTGCCGCCATTTTATTAGTGACTGTTCCCGCCACAATTATGACTTCCGTTTGGCGGGGCGAAGCCCTAAAAACGACTCCGTACCGGTCCATGTCGTATCGGGGGGCTGCAATGTGCATCATTTCTATGGCACAGCATGCCAAGCCGAAAGTAAGCGGCCACATTGAAGTTTTTCGGCCCCAATTCAGCAAGTCGTCGAGACGGGCTAAAACCCATTCGGTTTTATTTTTAGGGCGAAAGGGGGAGTATGGACGGTGTTTTTGACAGGTGGACTCGCACCTGCTGATGGGGTAAAAGTGAAAAAACTTGTTTTTAAATAGCTGAAAAGAAAGAAATCTGAAATGTGACATTTTGACGTTTAAGTAAGAGTTGAACGGGTTTTACTTAATTAAAAAAATTATATTGTTGCTATAATTACATTCTTGTCTTTGTTTTTTTTTAATTCAAATACTTTTAATAATATTTCAACAATGCGGCTATTTTCAAAATGTTTGGGAAGTTGTGGTGGTTGGTTGGTGGCAGTGTTTAGTTTTGTGTGTGAGAGAGAAACTCGATAGCGTGATCTGTGATGTGAAGCGAAATGGAAACAACTGTCTAAATTCAATCGTGTCCATTATGTTGGCCAATGACCGATTATAGTAAGCATTTTTTTGCGTTTTGTCGAATGTGCAAATCCTTCGATTCGATTCTTCACCAAAAACCGTGCTTTATCGTTAAAAAGTGATCCATGCATTGTGTTTGGTGTCATTCTATACCAATACCAACAAAAAAAAACAAGAAACTTATTATCGCATCTCGTTAATAACATTCGAATACCTCCATCTCCGTCTGTTGCTTGGTAACTGTGATACAAAGCTGTGGTGACGTGTGCGAAATTCACTCGAAGCGCAGTCAGTGTAGTGTATTTTTTATTATTAAGATTGGTGAACATAACCTCAATTAGGCAGTGAGAGGACGCGTGTTTGAATAATTTAACATTTGGCGACGTAAATACGGCCATCCGACTTAACACCTCGATATGATTTTGTACAGTTGGGTAAGAAGACGTTTTATTGTTTGCGGGGGTGGTTTTGATGGTGCGGTTTCAGGGCGCGAACTCCTACGGCCAGCTAGGCTTGGGACATAAGTCCGATGAGGAGGTGGCTCCAAAAGAGGTGAACCTCGGCGACACGGATCTGGTGGCTGAGAATATCGTTGCCATAGCCGGCGGTGCGGGTCACACTTTATTTTTAGACAAAAATGGTTTCGTCTATTGTTGCGGGTGGAACTCCAAAGGCCAGTTGGGTACCAGCGATGATACTCTGAAAATTACGCAGATTGAAATTTTGAAAGGGTTCCGGATAGTCCAGATCTCATGTGGATGGGATTTCAGCGCTGCGGTGTCCGAATGCGGCAAACAGTTTGTCTGGGGGAACAACTCGTACACCCAGTTGGGGCTCTCTAAAAGCATCACTTGCACGGGGATACCATCCCGATTGCAAGTGTCCCAAAAGCTGGCCACTGGATTCAAACAGGTAAAGTTCTAAAGAGGTCTCCTGGGGTACCATGTCAGTAATGTGTGTATAGGTCAGCTGCGGGCTTCGCCACTCAGCGATGCTTAACAAAGACGGTGGTCTTCTAGTCGCAGGCACGGGCAGCAAAGGTCAACTAGGCCTTGGCGACAACTTTGATGACAACAACTACCTGAGTATATCCAAAGTTCCCGATTTAGAAGACATAGTGAGCATAGCGAGTGGCCAGCACCACACTGTGGTCCTCAAGGAGGATGGTACGGTCTACAGCTGGGGCGAGAATAAGTATGGCCAGTTGGGCATCGACCCCAACATCTCCAACAGTTTCGTCCCAATGGAGATCCTCCATGACGCTAATCTCGGCTCTGTGTACGCCGGTTGGACTCACACAGCGGCCCTTTCCAAGTCGGGCGAAGTCTTCACTTGGGGACGCAACAGCTACGGGCAATTGGGGGCCCAGAGGGAGATTACCTACAAGCCGGAGAAAATCCCCGGCCTGAAGGACGTTACTCAGTTGAGTGTCGGCTCCGAACATAATCTAGCCGTTACCAAAGATGGAAAATTGTTCGTTTGGGGGTGGAATGAGCATGGAAGCTGCGGCACGGGTGATAAAAACGACGTTTTTAAACCCACGCAGATTTTTGCTAATAGGAAAGTCAAGTCGGCTTTTGCTTGTACCGGTAGTTCTTTCGCTGTTGTCGAATAGCAATAATTAATTCTCTTTTTTTGATGTGCATAAGTATTTTTATAAAGAATTATTATTAATTGAATTATTGTATTCCGTATTTTTATAATAAAAATGTGTTGCATGATTCCATGAGGGTTTTTTATTTAGCAAAGTTGGTATAATCTCATTTGTTTGTATTTCGTTGTCCTTAGAAACGTAAAAGAAACAATTGAATAAAAATGTTAAACACGTTCAGGGCAAGGAATAATTGGTAAATATTTATTATTTTACAATTTTTCAGACAAATATTTGTTCAAGCATGTTTTGAAGCGCAATTTATCGTAATAATCAGGCTTTTATCAGAAGTTTTATTTTTAGTTTAAGCAAATTAGACAAAACAGTAAAATTGGCCAACCATTGGTTAGACAAAGATGGGTTGAGCAATCAAAACTTTAAACAAACGTACCAAAATAACATTATCTCACCTTATCTAAATGTAGCTTTTCATAAACAGAGATGTTTTTTTAGTAAAAATAGTTTTGTTAAATTTTTACAAGCGATTTCGGAAAGATAAAAAAACAACTGCTAAATATTTAATAACAAATTAATTTTGTAAAGTTCCCTTTTTATATACAATTTGAAGGAAATTGTATCTATAAATCCTCGGTAGTATAGTGGTCAGTATCCCCGCCTGTCACGCGGGAGACCGGGGTTCGATTCCCCGCCGGGGAGGATTTTTTTTATTTTCACTTGAATTTTTTTTTTTACATTGTTAATTCCTTTATTAAATTTGGTAGTGAACAAGAGGCCAAATTCGTGCAGGACCGTATTGTGTCTGTTGAGCGCACAATCGGCGAATTATGCCACGTTTTCGGTCAATATTCACGAAAAGCGGCTCGTCTCAGAGACAAAGGGGACGAAGTAGCCAAAATAACGCTCGAACATGCCGAATCGGAACAATTAAACCGATCTCTAAGCCTTGCTTTGGAAAATTTTGCCGACTGCATCTCACTTTTGAGTTCTTATGGCGATTTGAGAGTCCAAAATTTGGACAATAAAGTGATTAAAGAGTTTGGACGCTACGAAGACATTTGTAAACATGCCAAAGACGAAGTTAAGCAAATTTATAACGCTAGGGAGAAAGAAATCGCGAGGAAGAGACAGTTGGATCGAATTAAAGAAAGAAATCCGAGGAATAGGCAACAAATTGTGAAAAAATATTTATTTGAGACACTATTTATTATAATTGAAAAATTGTAGTTACAAGCAGAGACTGAATTAGTAAAAGCGAGTGCCGAATTTTCGAAAACTTTACGTAATTTGGAGGAAAAAAGCACAGAATTTGAGAAGCAAAAACTCCACGATATGAAGTCAATTTTGCTCGACTTTGTGGCGATTGAAATGGGGTACCATGCGCGGGCTTTGGAAGTCTTGACTAACGCCTACAAAGCTGTGAATTCGATGGATGAAGAGGCCGACCTACAGGTAAGGAAAACTCGTTTAGATTAAAAAATAAACCAATTCATTGAACAGGACTTTCAAAAAACTAGTGGGAAGGTGGAAGCGGTAAAAAGTTAGATAACAATGCTTCTGTTATTTTTTTACTATTTTCAGGAGTTTAAAAAGTCATTACGGCGCCCGAACAGCTCTCGCAACGTGGGCTCGCGCAGTCTTTTCCGTTCTAGCAATTCTCTGGGTTCCCTAAAAGGACTTTTTACCCCCAACAGCACAAAACCTCAGGGAATTCCCAGAAAAGTGTCCAAGAGTGAAGAAACTCTAGATTCCATGAAACGAAGTATTTCCGACACTGAGGAAAGCCTCAGCGACAGTGCAAACGTGTCGGAGAACATTTCCGATACTGAAGAGCCATCGTCCCCCATCAGGCCACGAATGCCCCGCAAATGAAACATTTCCATGCTTAGTACTAATTTATTAACAAAACGGTTCTTTCATCAATACATTAATTAATTTAGGACTTACACTAACAAATCGGTTTTACTTTTCCGCCCCTTCAACTCCAGCTTGAGTCATTAGATCGCCGATATTTTTTTCCAAATCATCGATTCGGTTGCCCATTTCATCTATTCTGGTTAAAATTTGATCGGACATGTTTTGAAATTTGTCTTGGATGGTTTGGAGGAGCCCCTGAACCTAAATTTAGCAATAACTTTACATTTTTGACATTCGAGGTTATGTCGACTTACGTATTGGGTCAATTCTTGGACATTTTTCGGGTCGTTGGTGTTTGTGGCGGTGAAAGCTTCAGTGTCGTTGTTCATTTCGACTTTATCGTCCACCATTACTGAGGTAAATACGAGATTTTACTCAAATAAAACGAAAAATGTTTAATCGAAAAATGTCACTCTTTGTACCAGGCGCGGTGGGGATGTTAGCTTTCCAGAGTTTGCGTGTGTTGAGTAATGTAAACACGAATAATAAAAGGGGAAAATGCACCCCACCCAGGGTTATGAAATTGTGTTTTAATTTTTGTAAAATCACGAAATTCCATGTTTCGGCTCCTTTTATCACCTCACTTGACTCAGTTCTGTTGAGAATAATTGGGGTGCATTATTGCAAATTAGGCCTTCAGATCACGGATCCACAGCCACAAAATCTCTACAAATTCACCGCTTCACTTCTTTTTTTTCTTTTTGGTTAAAAAATGCATTCATTTGTGATTTATGCAATTTATTATTTAAACACGGAGTAATACAGCTTTAATTTTCATCAGGAATGTTAAGAATACATCACCATGTCATCGTTATAACTACAAAGCTAATAAAATAATTACAATATTATTATGCCTATTTACTGTTCCACAGTGATGTTAATACATATCACATCACCGTTTCATCGTTATAACTACATAAGCTAAAAAATTACAATATTATGCCTATTCATTTTTCAACATTTTTGCAACAAAAAGATATTTTTAAGTAAGTATAGGTATTTTATTGATATTGCTGAGCATAATGCCTTTTCTCATGTTTTTTATCGTTTTCCAAACCGGTGGCCTGATCATAATGTCTCCTGGATCCACCTTCCTTATCGGCTTTCATTTCCAAACCTACACACATAATAATTTCATTGTTTTTTAAGTATTTTATTGAATCAATTGCTTACCATAATGTTTTTTCTCATCATGCATGTCATCGGCTTCCAAACCTACACCCGTCACGGTGTTGCGTTTCATCTTGGAGAATGAAACATTCGGTCCTTCAGAGGCTTCCTGTGGATTTTTCTTGACGGTTGGTTCAAGTGTTTCAAACTGTTCATTTTCAGGATTTGCATTTTCAGAAATCTTGGAAAACTCTTGAGTTTTTGGGGGTCTGTTGATTTTCGAAGGCGAACCGTTGATGGAGTATATTTGGCTGCCGTCGCTTTCACCAAATTTCGGCTCTTTCAGGCACAAAATGTCGCTTGGATTAGTCGTCATCTTTTTAAATTTTGATCGTAACTGCGTCGCAAATACCTACTGTCAAGTGAATGTCAATTTTTTATTAAAAAAAAAATTACTTGAAAATTTAGATCAACCGTTAAAACAAATTACTATTCTTTGAAATTGTGCTTCTTATTTTGTACAGATTTTACACAAAATACAATTTTTTTGAAATGGATGATGGCTAATCCTTGTAAAACAAAAGTCCCTAAAAGGTTTAATTTGTTTTGGATTTTGGAAAATATGTAGTTTGGAGGTCAATAAAATCATAAAATTGGGCTTTAAAATTTTTTCCGTCTTGTGTATGCTCAAAATTCTTAAATTATTAACAATTGATTGATTTTTGTTAAAAATAAATTCGAATCACGGTTAATGATTTCAGTTCCAAATGTTGGTAGTTAATTTAAAAGAATTTAATGAATATTTTTGAATTATTTTTTTATATACATAATATTGTGAAATTAATGATGTTAATTGTTAGTTGCATTATATAAAGATCAATAGTTTTGTTTATGCGTATTGGAGTGTCCAAATTCATAAATAATTATATACATTGAAAAAAGTCTAATATTTTGGTTAATTCATTTATTTATTATTTTAACAAAAGATACTAAAGCTTTAATTTTTATCAATAATGTTAAGAATACTTACAATATTATTATGCCTATTTACTTTTCTACAGTGATGTTAATACATATCACATCACCGTTTCTTCGTAATCACTATAAGCTAAAAAATTACAATATTATGCGTATTAATTTTTCAACATTTTTGCAACAAAAGAAGGATACATATTTTTAAGTAAGCATAGGTAGGTATTTTATTGAATCAATATTGTTGACCATAATGCCTTTTCTCATGTTTTTTATCGTTTTCCAAACGAGTGACTTGACCATCATGTCTCCTGGATTTACCTTCCTTATCGGTAGGATTTGCAATTTCAGAAATGTTGATACACTCTTGAGGTTCTTGAGATCTTGGTGGTCTGTTGATTCTCGAAGGCAAACCGTGGATGGAGTATATTTGGCTACCGTCGCTTTCACCAAATTTAGGCTCTTTCAAGCAAAGAATATCGCTTGGATTCGTAGTCATTTTTTAAACTTTAATCGTAACTGCGTCGCAAATACCTACTGTCAAATGAATGTCAATTTTTATATTAAAAAAAATTTATTTGTAAATTTAGATCAATCATTCAAAATAATTATTATTCTTTAAAAATTGTGCTTCTATTTTGCACACATTTTACACAAAATACATTTTTTTTTTAAATCGTTAGGTCCTTATCACTGGCTAATCCTTGTAAAACAAAAGTCCCTAAAAGGTTTACTTTGCTTTGGATTTTGTAAATTACGTCGTCAATAAAAACATGAAATTGCGCTTTAAAATTTCTTCAGTTTTGTGTATGCTCAGAATTCTGAAATTATTAACAATTGATTGATTTTTGTTGAATTATTTTTTTTATATACTTACATAATATTGTGAAATTCATATATGCCTTATACTTATAAAGATCAATAGGTAGTTTTGTTTTTAGGTATTGAGGTGTTCAAATTCATAAATAAATATATACATTGAAAGTCTAATATTTTGGCTATTTCATAATTTAATTCATGCAGTTTATTATTTTAACAAAAGATAATAAAATTTTAATTTTCATTAGTAGTGTTAAGAGAATACATACATCACCGTACTGTCGTTATAACTAAAAGCTAATAAAAAAATGCCTATTTATTATTTTTCCACAGTGATGTTAATACATATCACATCACCGTTTCATCGTAATAACTATAAACTAAAAAAATACATTATTATGCCTATTCATTTTTTAACATTTTTGCAACAAAAAAAGGATACATATTTTTAAGTAAGCATAGGTATTTTATTGAATCAATTTTGTTGACCATAATGCCTTTTCTCATGTTTTTTATCGTTTTCCAAACGAGTGACTTGACCATCATGTCTCATGGATCCACCTTTCTTATCCTTACCGGTAGGATTTGCAATTTCATTTATGTTGAAGCACTCTTGAGGTTCTTGAGTTCTTGGTGGTCTGTTGATTCTCGAAGGCGAACCGTGGATGGAGTATATTTGGCTACCGTCACTTTCACCAAATTTCGGCTCTTTCAGGCAAAGAATATCGCTTGGATTCGTCGTCATTTTTTTAAACTTTAATTGTAACTGCGTCGCAAATACCTACTGTCAAATGAATGTCAAATTTTTATATAGAAAAAATTTATTTGAAAATTTAGATCAACCATATTAAAACAAATTATTATTCTTTAAAAATTGTGCTTATTTTGTACAGATTTACACAAAATACATTTTTTTTTGAAATTGTTGATGTCTTTGTCACTGGCTAATCCTTGTAAAACAAAAGTCCCTAAAAGGTTTAATTTGCTTTGTGGATAAAATTATAAAATTGCGCAGAAATTTGCCCAGAATTACAATTTATTGATTTTTGTTAACAACGTAATCTTAAGTATACTAGATTTGAATCGCCGATATTTTTTAATTATTTTCCAATATTGAGTAATATGGTCTAATTAATGACGTTATTTGTTAGTTGCCTTCTATAAAAGTCAATAGTTTTGTTGAGATATTGGGGTGTCCCAATGCATAAATAAATATATACATACATTGAAAGTCTAATTTTGACTATTTCATGATTTAATTCATGCAATTTATTATTTTAACAAAAGATAAATAAAGCTTTAGTTTTATCAGTGATGTTAAGAATACATTTCATCCTTATACTAAAAGCTAAGATAATTAAATTATTATGCCTATGCATTTTTGAACATTTTTGCAATGAAAAAGGATATAATTATAATGTTTTGAAGTAGGTATATTATATTGAATCTTGAATCAATTATTGATGGTCATAATGTCTTTTCTCATGTACTTTATCGTTTTCCAAACGGGTAACTTGACCTGCCCCATCTTTCTCATCGGCTTCGGCTTCTAATTCCAAACCTACACATAATTTTATTGTATTTTTAAGTAAATATTTTATTGAATCAATTACTGACCATAATGCCCCTTCTCATGTATCAATTGCTGACCGTACTGTCTTCTGGATCCACCTTCCTTATCGGCTTCTAATTCCAAACCTAGACATAATAATTTCATTGTATTTTTAAGTACTTAATTGAATCAATTATTGATGCTGACCATAATGTCTTTTCTCATGTACTTTATCGTCTTCCCAACGGGTGACTTGACCTGCTGCATTTGCCTCATCGGCTTCCAATTCCAAACTGTGTTCCAAACCTACACATAATTTGATCGTAGGTATTTTCAAATAGTTTATTGAACCAATTACTGACCATAATGCCCCTTCTCATGTATCAACTGCTGACCATAATGTCTTCTGGATCCATCACCTTCCTTATCGGCTTGCAATTCCAAACCTACATAGACAATAATTTCATAGTATTGTTAAGTACATATTTTATTGAATTATAGTTGCTGACCATAATGTCTTTTTTCATGTATTTCATCGGCTTCCAAACCTACACCCGTCACGGGGTTGCGTATCATGTTGGAAGATGAAACATTTGGCTGCCCAGAAGGTCCCTCGAAAATAGGTTCCGTTTCTTTCTCAGGTGGGCTTTCCTTGTCGGTTGAGTCATGTGTTTCAGACTGTTCAGTTTCAGGATAAATATTCGGCTCTACAGAAAGTTCCTGAATAATCAACTCTGGTTTTTCTTCCTGTGGGCTTTCCATGTCGGCTTGTTCAAATGTTTCAGATTCTTCAATTTCAGGATTTGCAGTATCAGGAAGTTTGATAGACTCTTCAGTTTTTGAGGGTAAATCAAATTGGAAGACGTCGTTGCTTTGCTGGTGGCGTCTGTTTATTCTTGAAAAAGGTGAACCGCTCATGGAGTATATTTGGCTACCATCGCTTTCACCAAGTTTCGGTTCTTTCAGGCAAAATATATCACTTTCATTTCTCATCATTTTCGTAAATTTAAATTCAGCTGCTTCACTACGTCGCAAATACCTAAGACTGTCAAATGACTGTCAATTGACTGTCAAAAATTTTAATTTATTATTTTAAAATAAAATTTTACTTTAAGAAACTACTTTATGTGAAAATTTAGATCAACCACTTGAAAACAAATTATTCTTTAAAAATTGTGCCTCTTAGTTTTTGTCTTGCACAATATTTTGAAATTTTAATTATAATTTTTACTATTATAGTTTTCACAATCCTTGTGAAACAAAAGTCCCTAGGAAGTTTTATGTTCTTTGAATTTTTTCATCAAATCAGTAAATTGTGCTTTAAAATGTCTTCAAACAGCTCAGAAGACGAAGATTTGGATAAATTACGTGAAGCCGCCGACGACCAATTCTTAAATAACGCGTTGTATAACAAAACTAAATGTAAGTTAAAAACTAAGGTTATGTTATGCTTTAACCAAAAAAAATTATAGCAAAATCCGAAGAGCCACAAAATACGAAACAAGAATCGTTACGTCGTAGCAAGGACGAGGACGACCAGTTTAATCTGTTTCGTGTGTCCCCAGAGTTCCAAAATTACGTCGCCAAACATTTATCTCAAATCCTAGATAAAATGTTAAAGGACAGATTCGAAACTAAAAACTATGAAAATTTCATAAAACCAAAACGGCGGAAAAGTAGAATTAAGTTACTTCGTGATTCACCACACTACATTAGTGTAAAAATAAGAAAGGTTATGCCACAAGTGAAGAAAAGTGAAGTTGAAGACGAAAGCGATAATGAGGCTAAATTTCGTACTGTTGTTGTAAGTCCTGATGATATTTTAAGCAAAAAAGACACAAAACACTGGTCCACACGTAGCAAAGCCCCTGTTTATACTTATTACCAAACGGAACAAGGTCTCATACTTAAATAAAGCAAGATTTTTTTAAAATTTAAAATCATTTTATTAGGTTGGCAGCGCTGACTTAACCTTAACTTTTGTAAGCTAACCTCGAACTCGTTCCAAAAAACCGCCTAATGATTATTCGTCGCTTAATTCTTACGTTTTAGTTTATTTTAGCCGCATTTTAGTGTTTCTTACTCAACTATGTTTCCCTTTTTTATTGTATTTTTAACTATAGCTACTCGTACTTATTGTGATAACTTTTCCAGTATTAACCTCCCTGAATCTCACTTACCATATTACTTTACTAACTTTCCAAAAATCGCAGAAAAATGTGACAAAGACCCCCAGTGCCCCTACAAAACCTCTCTAAACTTCCCCAAATGCTGGGGCTACGAATACAACTGCCCGGAATCAAACCGCTACTCAGTCCCCCGGTGTCCAGGAGACCACAAAGGCTGGGTTAAGTCCAAATCCGACCAAATTAACACATTTTACACTCAAGCTGATTTCGGCTTTGTTAAGCAACAATTACGCGAAATGAAACTCCTCTGTGAGCCCCTTTTCGCCGACGATAGCTCTCTCGAATGTTCGGAACATCTGCGCTTTTGTCGGGGGCGTAACCTTATGATAAATTTCACCGATTTGCGGACACGCGAGGATCCAATCAGGTACAAAATGGACGTGTTGAAAGACGGCCAGATTGGAGGCTACTGCGATTTTAAAAAAGCGGAACTGGATAAGCAGACGGACCATTTAAGCCCCTTGCAGAGTTGGGGCCCCGAAATGAGGTATTTCGCTAGACTCACGCGTAGGCCGATAGTCGAAGGCGATTGCGATGTAGTGATAGAGAAACCCACGTTTATCATGAAAATAGACGCTAGTACGTGGCCACAACCCCCGAAGTTGGGGCCCAATTTTGACCCGAATTTTGTTTTTAGCCGTGAATATGTACCACCACTTCTGCGATTTCCTCAATCTATACGCTTCAATACACTTGAATTCGACCCAATGGGACGCTTTTTCTACCGACGTTCATGTCTTAATTTGGGAGACTTATACCTACAGATCGGCGTTTGGAGACACTTGGGAGGCTTTCACCGACCACCCTGTTTGGGATTTGAAGACTTTCAGAGGCGAAACTGTCTGTTTTAAGAACGTGGTGTTTCCCCTTTTGCCCCGCATGATTTTCGGGTTGTACTACAATACTCCTATTATCTACGGGTGTGAGAACAGCGGCCTGTTTCATGCCTTTTCTCAACACATTTTACACCGGCTCAAAATCCCCTTCCACCCACGCAAAAACAAAAAAATTCGAATTACGCTTCTTACACGGGACACGAAATATCGAAGGATTTTGAACGAGGATGAACTCGTTGAAGCGTTGGCAAAAAATCGCAATTATGAAGTACAAAAAATTGTCTACAATAAGCAAATTCCGTTCAAGAAACAATTAGAAATTACGCGCAATTCCGATGTTTTAATTGGTGTGCATGGGGCTGGCTTGACGCATTTATTATTTTTACCGGACTGGGCGGCTGTTTTCGAATTGTAATTAATTGAAATTAAGTGACAATAAGCATAATTATAAGGTTTTAGGTACAACTGTGAAGATGCAAATTGTTATTTCGACTTGGCAAGGTTAAGGGGGCTCAAGTATGTCACGTGGGAGAAACTGGATAAATTAAAGTCACAGGAAGACGTAAGAATTTTCTTCATTTAATTATATTTTTTTTTTAATTAGCAAATGAAAACAAAGTAATGTTTCATCTTTCAACATATTTAGTCCCTTATTTAAAAGGAAAATTAAAATTTACAAAAGTTATTAATTAAAAATTAATAATTTATTTGGAAGTAATTAGATTGTAAGTTAAAAAATTATAAAAACGCTTTTTTAGGGGACTCACGATGGCGGGGCTCATGCCAAATTCGCCAATTACTCTTTTGACGTAAAAGAGTTTTTACGATTAGTTGCACAGACAGCAAAGCACGTTGAAAGTCATCCAGGCTTTAAAAATTTTATTTCCAAAGTTGATAATGAAATGGACCATGACGAATTGTAATTTTTTACGAATTTTGACTAATTGTTACTAATAAGATTAATGTTGACTCTTTTTTATTTTTTTACAAAATTATTTATTTGTAGGTAAAAACGAGATAAATAAACCACTTAAAAGTCCTTTTAGAGTTTTAATTTGATTTGTTTCTTAAAGAGGAAACATACAATGGCGCAATTGATCAACATATAAACGGATATAATGACTAAACTAATGACAGATGAAACATTAAGTGTATCACATAAAACATTGACTAGACCGGTTAATAAATTACTGATAAGGAAAAAAACTAAACCGTTGTAGTTGATAGCTTGAAGAATGAACGGTAGTTGGAGGTTGACATGTAGTTTATTTCTGAAAGTGTCTTCTAAAATTTTTCCAAAAATATAGTAAAGTCCAGTCATGAAAATCCCGATGAAAAGTACCCAAAAACAATACGCCATGTTTGCCAATTTCCGGGAAATCCCACAATACTTTTCACATATTTGTGACAAGAACAACATCAAAGTGGTCAAGAAAACAAACTTGATTATAGTTTTCTTGACTCCTTCTGGCCCTTTTTTCAACCCGACAAAATAACTAAAATTGGTCGAAAACATATACAGGGAGGCATATCCAAGGCACGAGATAATTCCTTCTCTATTAGCCGTCAAAAAATTGCTACGTTTATGACTGCCCATGACAAAGTTTTTTAAACCACTTTGTAACAAAGACTCGTGTGATATCAACAACATAGTCGCGTTGATAAAAATATATTTGACTTTAACCACCCCGAAAATAAGCGAAACCACGATTTTGATCACCGCTAGTGATATAAAAAAGTTCCAGTGAACTCCATACTCAGTCACAGGCACATGATAACCAATCAATTTCGTGACAAAAAAGCGCCCCACACCAAGTACCAACAATGGTACAGACCCCTTGAGCGCCTTCCCCAGGTCAGTTTGCCCCGTATCCACGATTCCGTTAGAGAAAATGAACAGCCCCACGCCGACATCCATGAGACTGTATCCATATGACTTGGTTTTAGCAAACCGGCGCGGAAAAATTAGAAAATCCACCGCCAGAATTGCAACCACCGAAATTACGTTGATGGTGGACCGGCTATTGGTGAGATAATCACGATTTTGGGGGGCTTTTGGTGGTTTTTCATACAAAGGATTGGAACTCCGCAGCCACAAAATAAGCGATAAAGTAATGATGAAAAATGTAGACAATAGTTCGACCGTGTAGTCCGATAATACTGTGACATTTAGGATAATGGGGAGGACTAGAGTAAGGAATTCAATGCTGAATTGGAGTGGGAGGCTCTTGGTTTTAGTTTGGAGGAGTGATACGATTATGGAGGTGATTGTGGTGTAGAAAAGGGATGGGAGAATTACGGCGACAATTTCATAAGGAGTTGTCCCGGTGGAATGCATCAAGTGGTCCCGGGGGACTCGCTCATGTTGAGACATGTTGAGCAATCATAAATCTGAAAAATCATTATACTCTTTGGTTTAGACTAAAGTAAATGGGATACCTGTGTTGTTTATCGTAACATTGTAATTGCGTATAATAAATTATTAACAATTTATTGAATTTTGTCAACATAACCTTAGTTCGAAACACCCTTAGTGATTTCAATTTTTAAATGTTGGCAGCAAATTTAGATTAATATTAAATAATAAAAGCCTAATTTAGTCATTTCCTAATTTTATTTATTTATGGTGGAATAAAGTAACAGCACTAGATTTGTCGATTCGACGAAACTACAATAATTTTCCTCAATTATTGGGGGAGTTTTTATCTTGGCTGTTTGTCTCCGGTAGGGTTTTTGATTTTTTATAGTGCCGCCTCAAAAATTTTGAAATTCTTCCCGCCAAACTCGGTCTGCGACTATTCGACGTCTTGCTGTCCAAACTCAAGCTATTTTCTGAGTTTTGACTCGCCGCCCTGCTGCAATCTTCATCTGAACGCCTTTCAGTTTTGATACTGGTCGGATTTTCGTTATGTTCCTCCTGCTTGTAATAAGGGTCCCACGAGGACAGGGGTACGAGATACTCGTCGTTTTGTTGCACTAAAGTCGCAAGATTTACCATTGAGGGGCTTTCGCCCAGATGGGAGCCGTCCCCTGGGATGGCGATGTCGTGCATGTCCCATTTGCTGGGTCTTCGCTTGAATGAAAGTCCATCGCAACGCACTCTCACTATTGTTACCTCTGAATCGGTGGGCTTTATATCAGAGGTGTTGTTAAAATAATCGCCTTCGCTTATTAACATGTTGGGCTCTTCAAATCGTATGAATTTGTCGCTAACAGTGGCCGCACTAGAGTAGGCATATCTATAATTTATGGGAGTCGACTGTTTAGAGACGTTGTATTGACCCAACTTTTTACGAGCGTCGATTATGTCGTCGATTTGTTTGTAGTTTTCGAACGAATTCGTCATTTTTACGTGGAATTTGGATTTAAGGTGTCATATGAGTGACTTTTAAGACGAGTTTTGGCGACTTTGTCACGAGTTTTATTATTTAGCAACGAGAAAAAATTAAAATTGGACTCAAGTATTGTATGACTCAAGTTTTCTCAAATAAATAAGCAGCCTTTTGATTTACTGGCAATACAACTTCAGGGCTACTTACCTTCTCTTTTTGGTAAAAACAAAAAAAATTAAATATCGAACACAATTAATTCAAATATTATTTAAAAAAAATAAGTTAGCCATCTTTGACGAAGCGATTTTAAAAGAAGGTTTTTTCAACAAGTCGACCTGATAATGAAATTTTAATACTGCTTCTTAATAGATGTTTTTTTTATTTACTCCTTTGCAAGTAATTACGATAAATGCTTATTGAGCTTTGTTTTTTTCCTTATTTTTCTCCATACAACATTCAAAGATAAAAGAGGTAATTAACGGAAGTTAACGATGTTTACATTTTTTTTGCTATCGTTTGACCCGTGGTTATGCCAATTACACGTGAAGATTATTAATTGTTAAGTCATAATTATACGTGCAGCGACTCAAATAAACATCGAATTATTCATGCCCCCTTCACTTTGTGAAAGTGCGCCGCCTCTGTGTTATTCATTTGACCCGTTTTTGACATTTGTCAGCTGTTAAGTGTCATTGTTGAGGTTATAATCAAATTTTTTCCGCTTTGTAAATGTAAATCCAAATAAAGCACCTCGAAAAACAGTGATTCCAATCACGATGGAGGCCCAGGAGTGTGAGACTAGCAGTTTAGATGAGGAAACTTCCTCACTCCTAAATAACGAATCATCGGGTGATTTTGAGAAGGGCTCCCAGATGAATGATTTTGATGAGAACGAAGACACCAGATCGGAGTTAAAATTTGATCGAGGTAAAGTAGAATTTTTGTTGTTACGGGGGTTCATCGTGCCTGATCGTAGACCTGGAAACGGAAGCGGAACGTAAAAAACGCGCTTTGATTGAGGACGCTTTGAGTAACAACAATTCGACTGTGAAAACGTACCAAGAGTTGGCAATTGACGAGTTTGGATTAGTCGGAGATGACTTGCGGTGCAAAGTTTGGCCATTGTTGCTCGAGCTTGACCCTAATAACCTGGAAAAGACTCCACTTTTGGAGGAACTATCGAGTCACAGTGAATACGAACAAGTCGTACTGGACGTAAACCGGTCTCTCAAGCGGTTCCCCCCTGGCATTCCATACAAGCAACGGCTTGCGTTACAAGACCAACTTACTGTCTTAATTCTGAGGGTGATTATCAAGTACCCCCATTTGCGATACTACCAGGGTTACCACGATGTCGCCATCACATTCCTGCTGGTGGTGGGCGAAGCCCTGGGCTTCAGCATCATGGAGCGCCTCAGCACGGACCATCTCCGCGAGTGCATGGAGCCCACAATGGAAAAAACCTCATACAGATTGACCTACATCTACCCCCTTTTGAGTCGGGTTGACCCTCAATTGTACGAGTTCATGGATAGGTAATTTGGGATGAGGGCATTTATTTGTTAATCCATCATGTCGGGGCTTTTAGGGCTATGGTCGGGACCATGTTTGCCCTCCCCTGGTACTTGACTTGGTTTGGGCACTCCCTCAACCAATACAAAGACGTGGTGCGGTTGTATGACTTTTTCCTGGCGACTCCACCCCTGATGCCCCTTTATGTGGCGGCGGCGCTGGTGGTGGAGCGGCGCGAGGAGGTTTTTGAACAGGGTTGCGACATGGCCAGTATCCACTGTCTCCTATCCCAAATTCCCGACAATTTGGATTTCGAGGCGATTTTGAGGAGGGCGCTAACATACTACAAGAACCATCCTCCTCACAAATTGGAAGGCGATGTGAAGAAGAGAGTGAAGAAAGAGTACGTATACTTGAGCTTTTTTAAGAAGTTGTACTGTTTGCTTAAAAGCTTGTTTACTCTTCGCTTTTACTGGTTTTTGATTTCTTCTCTGCTGTTTCGTAGTAATAAGATGAAAAATGTGTAGTGTAGTTAGTTGTAAAAAGTTTGAAATAAATCGATGCGTTTGTACTAATCGAATTCCTGTCTTCCAAGTCCTTCGCTTTGTGTGTGGCTATGTTTATGAGTAATGTGTTACATGGTTGGTTTATTTTAAGAGCTGAACAGCGGAAGAAAGAAGAAATGAGAATTAGGAGAAGACTCAATAGGAATAACACCCTTTGGGTGAGGTTTAGTAACAAGATGCCCACTTGGTTGATTTTCAATTACCGAAGTCGATATGGATTGCTGTTTGCCACAGCGACGGTTTTGCTTGGATATTACGCATATTATCTCAAGACGACAAATTCTTCTCACAGTTTTTTCGGGTAAACAAACTTCCTAGTACCACAACCAATTAAATAATCGTTTTTTTGCAGTATTTTTAACACATGACATTTAATTACAGTGGGACCCATAAAGACGATGATGCATAAGAGGTTTTATACAAGTTTCTAGTTTATTTATTTATTATTTTTTTAAAGCAGAGTAATCGTTCCAACTGTTGTTTATCACAAATTTACACATAAAGTTTATTCAACCACGAAATGATCATTATCAAGGTCATAAGTACTGTACACTTGTTGTAAATAAGAGGCTTTTAGGGATTGTTACCACGTTTTGAGCAAACCCATGTAAATACAGAGGAGACAATTGTACCAAAATAAAATGGTTGAGATTTTTAGCATGCCAAAAATTATTATCAGTGTGATATTTATTTTGAATTCCAGTTGTTTATTTTTATATACGGTGAAGTGTTTGGACATCCGCTTTTTATGTTGTGTTATAGGAGAAAATACAATCAGTATTTTTATATTTTGTTATGTGAATGTAAATGTAATTAAGTGCAATCTTTTGTATTAGTTTAAGGCGTATAAATAAAGAGATTAATAAAGTTTTTATTAAAAAAGTTGCGTTTTCGTGGTTTGTGATGTCCGATAAGTTATCAAGGTTGAAGGTCAGGGACTAGAAGAAACTGTTACTGAGCAGCGCTTGCATCACGAAAAGAAGCAGATTTTTTTTATTATATTTAATTAATTAGGTGCAAAATAAAATAGTTTTCTTTAAAACATTTTCGTAGTAAAAATAACGCAAGTTATAAGCTTAAAAAATAAAATATGGCCATCAGAAGTAAAAAGCAATGATAAGGTTCTTGATTAGTCCTGACTAATGTATTTTTATCGCTTTTAGGTGTAATTATGGGATAGTTATAAACCTAAGTACATTCTAAAGGCTATTGAACATTTTTTAGTTCAGTTGTGTATTTCAACGTCAAACAAAAAAATGATGAAATTGATTCTTTTTTTAATTCTGGCATTTTTGCCTGTAATGTGGTTTGCAAGTGACGGTAAGAAGCTCTAAAAATTGAAAATTGAAAATAACATGTTTTTAAACTAGAGAATGTTTCTGATCCCGCCCCTGTTACGTTTCCAGAAGATCTAGACCCCTGAGGCATAACTTTTTTCCAATGTGTTAACACCAATAAAACACTGAATAGGTCAAAATTTTTATCATTTTCGATGACATATTACAAAATATAAAACATAAATAAAAACCACTCAAAAACAGGAAGAGAAGGGAAGTAACAGCGTTAAATCTTAGTCAAATTTTTAAATCTAGGTAACAATATCATCACACGTCGTTTATGAGATTCGCAATGTAGCTCAAAACGTCTTTATTTTTGAGAATTTGCATATGATCAACTTTGGGAAGTTGCTTCGAGTAGACTTTCTGTTTTTGGAGATTCCCCCAATGGAGACACCCTTCAAGCGACTTACGGTTTACAGTGCCATCCCCATCACCGTTAATCAAGGTCGGGTAACCATCCAACCACGTCCCGGGCTTGTAATACAATCTAAACAACCAATCAGGAGCGAGTATTCCTCAACCACGCCACCTACCTTTCCACTGTATCAACTCCAACTCCGTACAAACAATGCACCTCAACCCCTGGCGGTCTATAATCCAATTGAAACTTTTCCGTGTCTTTTCGCATTTCCCAACCGACGGGGAAATTAATCGCTTGGAAAAACTCCTGTAAATTGCTCAAACTGAAATTTTTTCGCTCGGTTTGAATCAAGACTTCGTCGGGTTTCCAGAAGAGTTTGGAGGGGAGGAGCCACGCAAGGCTGGGGGAGGTGATTTGTTCCTCCCTCATGACGCTTTCCCTCAAAACGTAAGACCCCAAGTCGTCCCCTTGAAATTTTCAATTAATATTTGACAAAAATTGACACTGAGTGCTACCAATGGCGTAGACTTTGACAGCTTTCACTGAGCCCCCCCAAGCCCCACTAAGTGTAACCAAAGACTTGATGTACTTGTCTTTCCAGTCTTGGGTTTGCTGATTGAGGAAAAAGAGGGACATGGGGCCCCCCATCGAATGTGCGATGATAATAACGGGCTGATTGTTATTTTCCGTGTATGTTTGTTCAATTAGGGATTTAAGATCGATAAAAAATTGTTGATTTTCGTCTAAAATGTCACAATTTACTGAAGATTAAAAGCCAAGTGAGACACTTACTAGGTGCTTTCCGGAAGTCGTAAGGTGCCCCCTTGATCGTCTTATTTCTTTCATGTCCCAGACTCACTAAAGTCTTGGCAATGCTGTTAAAATACGCACCTGCAGAGGCATGGCTCGGATCCAGCCACTCCACTGCATCGGTGCCCCCAAACCCGGGTATCCTGATCTCGACCCCGTCATTATTCCGTGTTGTTCGCGTCTCATTGTCATAGATCAATTTAATATTGTCAATCCAACAGTCAATAACAAGGGGGACCAGCAACTCCATGTTGAGCCATATGTTGAAAAAATCCGACGTTGTCTTTTCACAAATGTAATGCACCGAAGTTGATTTGTTGAGTCTGGCTTCGACTTGAGACCCTCCATCGCCTGGGATTAATACAATGGGGTTTAAACCGCCACGGGCTACCGCCAAAATAAGGAAAAAACTATAGATTTTGAGGTTATGTGAAGCTGACATCGTCGAGAAAATTTTGCTTTTTCACGGTTAATTTTGACCTGACTGGGAAGAAAATAATTAAATTGACTCACTCAGGTCGTTTCGTTGGGACGATTTAAATCGACCATGATATTTTCTTATTGAAAAACACTGATATTTGGATACAATTGACAATTATTGACCAGATGATTTTGACGTTTGTCAACAGTGGCAGCGAATTGTTTATTAACTGAACAAGGACAAAAATTGAATTTTATGTGAGCTAAACTGAAATAAAACTATTTTTGGAGGTATTGCTGACGCGGGTGAAACATCAGATGATCGCAATCACAAATAGATTTCTTGAACTTTGAACTATTTCACCTCACCAGTGGCGTAACAACTCCCAAAACATTGGGCGCAAACATTTCAAAAACATCTGACCTGGCCGTACATACGAAGATGACCAAAACGAGTCTTGGACGAGTACATTTTAAAAAATAGGGGAATTTTTGTATGAAATGGCGTGTAGATTCGCTTTATTATTGCGATATTTGAAAAAGGACGCCACTGGTCCCTCTAAGGTTTTTATCATGATGTTTACATTTTAATTGCTTAATTTTGTAGTTTATGTTATTAAATACCATTAGCGTCTCTGGTAAAACAGCTGAATTTTCCCCTTCATTTTCAAAATGTAAAAAAAAATATCTTTTAATAGTATTTTTTAAAGTGGTATTTTATGGTAGGTATCGTAAATAAGTTTTACTTAAAAAGGAAGTGTTCAAGAAAATGACGATTAATGGATTGGACTCGTAATAAGCATAGTGACTTGTGTCATTTTGACATTTCTCGTTCCTTTTTGTGTAATACTTAATAAAGAGAAATGCAGAAACAGCAACCGGGTCTAGCTCCACTCATCCAAGGACCTGTGATGAAGAACCCCAAAGGCATCTAAGAATTATTAAAAATTTAAATTTTTGAATACATAGGCATCAGTTTTACTTAGATGCTACAAATTGGTATTCAACATACCTTCCCATTTAAATCAATAAAATTTGTTATTGCGAAACTAATTGTCTGATGCTGCTGCACAGACAACCAGTAATACATTCCTTAATTTCACATGCCTATATTATTATTACATTGGCGGTAACTCCCCCACTTGGGCTGTTTATCGTCATTAATTGCCAGTTCTCTTCCGCATTACCACCATCTTTACGTCTATAATCCCTTCGTCCCATAAATAACAATCAACGCACACGTGCTCGTCAATCGTCTAAATCCGATTTCGATCAATCCTCGGAATTCTTTATCATCATATTCCGTCTCGAGCGAGTATTTCATGACGCAACATCGCCTCCGATCTGACTTTAAGATGAAAGCTCTATTTATTCCTCTTCCATTTTTACAAGCTAATCCCTCAGACACAAGATTAAAACCATTCCACTATTGTCCAACCAAACGGGTTTTTCTTCCGGAATTTGGGAAATTTTGGCACGTGGGGGCTCGGTTAGCAATTAGTTGAGGTAATTGTGATGAGACCACGGTAATTTATGCTGCACCTTGATATAATACGGTGATGGATACGGTTCAAGAGCTTCGTCTTATTTAACGCTACTTAAAGACGTCCAATAGACAAAAGCGCGCAGAAACACAATAAGAAGAGTTGACAGGGGACCATCGGAGCAGAAACAATGCGTAAATCGAACCACTATTTCGATCAAAGGGCCACAAAAATAATTTTTCAACTAAATCAAAATTTAGAATATGCAACCAAGCAGACACCTTTTTTTTGGTGATTTTTTATTATTTTAAAATACATAACAATGATCGATTATAAATTAATACTTTTGTGGTTTAGACACCGGTTTTGCAGTAAAAATAAAATTTTGATATTTTTTTCCCAGTTTTTCTGTTGTGCCCGCTTTGTTGGAATCATGATACCGAGTTCAATCAAAATTTAATGATTATAATTGCGTCATGCAGATAACACTCCTTGAAATAATAACAGAGTGAGTCTGATTCGGATATTGTAATTCTCGATGATTAATATTATCCAGTTAGCTTCTCATGTGTGGCGATTCTTTATCAAGCACTTATTAAATTATATGTTGTCTCTGGGCCCCATTTAGATGTTCCGATTGTGCAAGCTTATTTCCAGTTCGTTGTTTGCCGTTCCCACTCGAAAAATTCGCTCAAATCCGTCACGCTTCCCTTATTTCCATTCAGTCGTCCAAAGGTGCGAAAATCTCGTTCTGCGACACTTTTTTCAGGTGTTTGGGCGTAAAACCTGCATTTTTTAAATTCTTCGCTGAGTGTATATTGTGTGGGTAACAATGCGTCCGATTTTCTTTTGTTCGGGTCGTAACAACGACAAGTGCGGCTATTCAATTGTTAAATGATGTTTCTTTAGGTTTTGGTATGAGTTTAAACGAGCTTTCGGCCGAGCTTGTGAAAACATTCGACAATGAAACGAGAGATTTTACAAAACTGTTTGACCCAGTGCTGCAATTCGGGGCTTAATCCGGGTCTGGGAGTCTGTGATGGGCTTAATAATAGTGATTAGAGCGATAACAGGAGAAATTTGTGCGTGATACACAACAAAATAAGTTGGCCACACTGAGATAAACACTTTTGACTGCTTGACGGCTTAATTCCATTTTTACATAAAATTCGGGACTAATTGGGAAAATTGCGCACAGTTAAAAAACCGCCCTCAATTTCTTTTTACTGTTATTACTTTTTTTAATGACAAACAAAATTTTATTCTTAAAACATTTTTATTAATTACGAGTATTGTTTTTTGAAAGCAAATGACGAAAAAATCCGCCTGATATTCAATCAAATTTTGTTACTATTCCATTGCTTGTAACTAAATCCTAGTTCGAGCAGGCTGTAAATATAGCATAGCAAAGAAAAGTTTCTTTCGTGGTTCGATTTTACGTAGCTCATTAAAGTCATCTCCCGTATTTTATTGTGCGAGCCATCCAAGCACAAAATAATAACGGAGCTCGTGTCTAATAAACACTCAATATGCCCATTATTGGTACTAATTAACCTGAGAAAAGTCATTTGTTAAAAATCGTCTTTCTCACGTGACGTTACGTAACAAGTCAATCACATATCAGGTCCAATTAAATGAATAAAGTTAAAGTGTCAAACAACAACAACAAGCTCGATAATCACCCGATTTCATACAATTGATCTTCTAGTGATTGCTTACAATCAAGAAGGCGACGCCAACTCGAAATGTATCGATTTTTTGGAACTAGTTACGTAATTTTTCTCGCAGATAATAGCAGGCAAGTATCAATAGGAAACGTAATTGATTCGAAAATGAAAGCTCACGATGACGAAGTTTGTAACGAGAGAAATTAGGATTTTTTCGGCTCGGTAAACGGAACTTACGAGAGCACTAAAACACTAATGGCACGAATAATTAATCGCATCTTGCTTTGGATAAGTTCTCTATCTATAACGGAAACGTCCCCTGTGATGTACAGTAGCGACAAATCTAATTTAACGTCATTATCCGTGCGCAAGCCAACGTCCGAGATAATACACTCCATTTGTCTCCTCTTAAGACCGGATTAACTGTTTAATTATCCTATAGATAGTGTAGTCTGGGAAGTAGTTAGCGATTTTCAAACGAGTTGGAATAGGATATAGAGTGGAGAGTCGCGGATTGGACGGAATGACAGAAATGTAAGGACGATCATGTTGTACCACCTGCAGGTTCAATAGTAGCGCGTAGCATTACATCCTGGTTACATTATTACAGTTTAGTTACGGTTATGGCTACAAGAGTGGCCGTGTTTGGATCTGACGGGCCATCGTGATACGGTTTGAATGATAGGCGCTGATAAGCGAGCGGCTACTGGAAGCGAGTTAGATGGAAAAACTACTCGCAAATAGGACATTTTCAAAAACTCAATGCAAATTTGAAAATTCAATTTCAAAAACTCAAATTATTATTGGTCGTTCGGAGACAGTTAGTACCACTAAAAAAACTCTCTTCATTTCCTACATAATGAAAAAAAGGATATTGGTCCTGCGACTCATAGTTAACAAGAAAATTACAGAAATATTGCAAATTGGTTTTCTAGGTCTTGAGGTTAAAATTTAAAGAAGATGATATGCACGGTATTAAAAAATTAAAACTTTTAACACATAAAATAAAAATTCATGTTATGAAAGTAAATAAATCATTTTTATTATTTGTTTGAGAACTGCTACTTTGGCTTAGTGCCAACCTAGAGTTTCACAAAATATATTAATCATCAACCAATTTATTATTTTAATATTTGCAATCAATTTGGAAAAAAATCAAGAAAAAACAAATCAAACCTATTGGAAACCATTTCGTTAGAAGGATTAAATAGAAGATCTTCAAGTTTTGATAAAAACTAAGACAAAAGCAAATAAAATGATAACAATGTCAAAATTATAATGTGAGTTTTGTCTTTCATTGTCGTAGTTATGATTTTGTTATTTCTTGTAACAAAGTAAAATTCCAGTTACCTTCAGATCTTGTACCAATATTTTAGAGTTAAATAATATTCTTATAATAATAACAATTCTGTGAATTTTTTTGATACCACAACCAATTAATTTTCAAAATAAAATAGTGATTTTACTAAAAGGTTTACAGTTCCAGTTTTGATTTATTAAAAAAAAAACTTATTACTTATAGGTATTAACGTGAGCAAAAAAAGAATAAAAAAAAACAGTTCGTAAGGCAAAAATTGTCAAATATATGCACTAATTTTTAACAAAAAGTTCACGAGAATATCACGGAAACAAAATTATTGAATGGCGAGCATTAAATTTTGCTAAGATATGTTATTTTGAAATATCATCTTCTTGTCAAAAAAGTAGTGTCCCTGTGTAATTTTGTCTGTTGTCAACTTTCTTTGAATGAATATAAAATCAAAAGAGCACACCAAAAACTAATTAACAAATATTTTATTGTGTCTTTAACTTCAACAAAGTGAAAATAATTACCATGCTATAGAAAGAAAATTTTTTGAAGTTGAGGTAGCTGATCAGTTGGGGCTCGTAGGAAGTTCCGTCAATTTCAAGATAGCTATTTGACATCCACATAAGAGAGAATGTTAGCCAATGACATTGACTACCAAAATTTAATACTCCCCGTCCTCCGAGGTGAGAGGGACGCAAGGGGTCAGCAAGAAGGTTCTGTGTCCTTTTATAGTTTCTCGCTTCTCTCCCGAAAACGGTGCATGTTACGAAAAAAATAGTTATGTACTAAATTAAAGCTTAAACAATTTCCTACAAGACAGTCTGTTCGTTTTTTTTTTGTATCTTAAATAGTTTTAGCGTTAACAATTAACAAATATTGTAATACTAAAAAACTCACTCACTTTGGATTAGGGTACCTTAATGTCATGTTTAGTACAGCAAAAGTAATTACATATAACGAAATGTTGGTTGCCGGTTGTAGAATGCAAATGTCCTATAGGCCCCTCCAGCTTGTAGAAAACGGTCCATTCGTACCTACCTTATAAGAAAGTGAGGTTATGTTTCACCATTCCCTCGTCGACAATTATTTATCTTGTATTTGCAAGCACGGCGGATGCGTAAAACACTAACATTCCTATTTCTACATATTTTAAGCTTCATTATGGTTTTATTTCCTATTCAAGTCCTACAGTAGGTACCTACAACGAAATGTAAGGTGTAAATTCGCTGTCACAATTTAACGATACCACTTACCTACTGATAACACTCACAATCACAGTAGTAGTAATAAGACAATTAGAGCGCATAAAGGGCACATACATAATAATTTTATTAAAAATTGTAATAATTCTCCTAATGAATGAACGCAAAATCGAATTACCAGTTTCGAACATTTTTGAATGAAACTAAAGTCTAAAATGATTGGTTTCTCCATGGTTATTCACATATAATGATGGCCGACCTTAAACGGGCCAATCACATCATTGCATTAATTTTTGAATGAATCCAAAAATCTAAAGTGATTGGTTTTTTTAGATTAAAATGATGGCCGACCTTAAACTGCCCAATCACAATGCTTACACATTTTACAACAATCCTTACGTTAATTCCTTATTTTTTTTAGTCTAATTATAACAAATAGAGTGCAAAAGAAATCATCAAAATCCAAAAACACCGCCTTGTGGGAAATTTTATAAACTTTAATTTTGTACATAACTATTTTTTTCGTAACACGTACCGTTGTGAGGATATAAAGAGAAAAAACATAAGATGGCACCTTGTTGGTGTCTTCCTGGGCCTCGCTCACTGCGGAGGACCGGAGATTTTCAGTATATTGCACCAAATTCAAAATAAAAATATTCAAGAAAGTCAATAAGAGGTATTCAAAAACGGTGTTTCGCCCACTCTCCCAATTTACGACTTCCGCTTCGAAAGAGATTCACCTTTTCATCGCATCAAATCCGTGTTTGGTCCCCGGTCCGCTTCCTCGTTGAATATTAATAACTTTGGTATAAAATAGCTCCAGATAATATCAGACGATCAGAGTGAATCCAATTTATCAATTGCTTTATCAATTCAACAGTGGCCATTTATAATTCGTCTGGAATTAGAATGGTATGTCTGTCCATGCAAAGCTCATTTACATATCGTGATTTCAGAGGCTAATTTACAAATTACAATGGTAAAAGTTGTTAAAACACCGGTTGGTTTTTATTGGTCGAAGAAGGAACGTCGATGGTTTAATTGGAGGCGATTTGTCAAGTGAACACCGGGCTTTTCATTTAACATTTCGCATCGGTACAATGGTGTAAATAGATCCCTGTGAAAGATTGCTCTTCTAGAAAGTATGTTTGCGAATATCTCCCTCCGAGTGCACAAATCCGATCCCAATCTCTGCAACTATTTTTCGTCCGATCACTTCTCGCTAATTATAGGTTCGAAACGGCATCATTTGCAGTCACGAAATCGTAAAATTCCCCGATTTAAATTAATTCCTTTTGTTGTTCGAAGCGTGTCCGTTAGATCCGCGGTCCCACACTAGATTTTTGCCCAAATAGGTGACGTGATTAATCAAATCCACCTGACACCGATACACCGATTTCAGTCACGAAACTCGATCGTTGCTTTTGAGGAGATATCAAAATCGGATCGGTTGATTTATGGTCGCGGAGTGTCCGAATATCACCTCGCGAGGATTATCCCGCTCTAGATCGGGAGTGCTGCATGGGTGGTCGCTACCACTTGCCCAAGACAAAGGTGTAGGTGGACAGTTTCATCATAATTTGCAAATCAATAACGTTACTCTAACGTTCACATTATCAGAGCGATTTATCATCAAAGAATAGGTCAGCCATGATAGATTGCTCTCAAAGTCACCGTTCGTGGAAGCTTAGCCGAAATTAGGCTGATGGACACGGGACGGTTCTAAATGTCGTGAACTTTTCGTTTACAGTTGCGTAATGCCAGACAAAAGTTCTTATTAAGATAGAATCACGAGCATACTGACAAAAGCCGTTAGCCAAAATAAGAGCAAAGCGGACAGATTGAGGAGCTAATTTTAATTGACATTTTACTTCAATGTTTCTCAAAGTCAAACGTTACGTGAAGAAACTGAATCTAGGTATAGAAAAATTCATTCATAACACATGTACACATGACAGAGTGGCCAGTTAAAACTTTCACAATAATTACCTAAAAAACTGCCCCATTTTTCGAAAATATGTACAATATACAGTATGTTCTCGGATTGAGTTTACAAGAGAATAGAAAAATTATCTTTAATTTTATGCTAAAACTGCAAAAGAAAAACATTTTTTGCTTCATCTGAAACGAGCAAATTTGTACTATTTCAAACTTTATTATTCTGACTCAGTAGAAAGAAAAGTTCATTTTTTTCTTAATTGTTTTGATAAAGATTTCACTCTCTCAGATGAGTTTACGCAAGTTAAATAACAATAATGTTAGTAAAAAACAATTTTAAAAGGTAAATGGCAACTCAAAGAAGCAGCTTTAAGATAAAAAGTACAAAGATTTTAATAAGAACATTAATTATTCAATTAATTAATTAATTGTCAAAGTGGCATTTTTGTCAAAAAATGAAACCGCCAATGTGATGATATAAAAGGAACAAATTAAATGCACAGTAAAATAATAAATGCTTAGTAAAAATAATAAATGCAGAGTAAAGACAATGAATGAATGTCTAGCAAAACTAATTAATTTAGTGGTATCAGGAGTAAAGAATGCAAGAAGCGGCGTACGCTGATTTGACTGATTACCATTTGTTCACAGTTTCGAGTCCTTGCTAAGATCATTCTTGCTCAGGGGCCCTGGCTAATATACCACCCTCCAATAATAATAAATATTCAGTAATATAAAAATAAGTACCAATAATAAATAACATTCTTGCGCAGGGGCCATCATACATTGTTATGTAACCAAGTATGAAAATTCTTTAAATTTTATGTTGATTAAAGTTACCGAGCGTTTACTATTTTTACTGTGCAAATTGGATTTTTTACTGAACAAATTACAATAAAATACTGTGCGTGCTTTACTTTATTATTACATTTATTATTTTTACTGTGTAAAATATTATAATTCTACTGATCAATTTAAATTTTTTACTGTCCAAAATTTAATTAAATACTGATCATTTATCATTTTATACTGATCAAAATTAAATTATTTTCAAATCAAAATTAATTTCAGTGATCAATTACTGATCACTTAATTACTACCCATTTAAAAACCAGAGAAAAAGCCCAAAATCCACTGAGTCAGAATAATGAATGAAGCTTTAATTTCAGATTTGCTCGTTTCAGGTAAAGCAAAAAAAAATTCCTTTGAAGTTCTGGCGTAAAATCAAAAATATTTTTTTATTATACCTGCATCATAATCCTAAATTAAAACACGCTGCAGCGTGCGTAATTTGGTCTTTATAGCACGCTGAAATTTTGAAGTTGTCTAGATAACAAAAAATAGTAAAATGTCTGGACCAATTACAACGTGAAAAAATGTGCTTAACAACGTAAACTAGTAACCGTCTCTACGAAAACGATTCACAAACAACCTTTGATAATTTTATTGTGTAAATTCACATTTTTTCAATGCTCATAAAAGATCGTAAATGGGCAGGTATAATAAAAAAAATGCGTATAACACTCGTTTATAAACGCCTTTAAAACACTTCCGACGTTAAAAGCACTCCGCTGACGCGTCGTGCTCTTAAACCCGTTGCGCCTGTTTTAAAGGCTTGCTTATAAACTAGTATAATAATATACTATAATTTTTTTTTTAATTTTAGGTTGATTAAAGGTACCGAGCGTTTATTATTTTTACTGTGCAAATTGGATTTTTTACTGAATAAATTACAGTAAAATACTGTGCTCGCTTTACTTTATTATTATACATTTATTATTTCACTGTGTAAAATATTATAATTATACTGATCACTTTTAATTTTTTACTGAGGAAAAATTAATTAAATACTGATCATTTATCATTTTACACTGATCAAAATTAAATTATTTACTGATCGCTTAATTACTACCCATTTAAAAACCAGAGAAAAAGCCCAAAATCCACTGAGTCAGAACGATGAATGAAGCTTTAATTTCAGATTTGCTCGTTTCAGGTAAAGCAGAAAAAATTTCCTTTGAAGTTCTGGCGTAAAATAAAAAAAAATTTTTTTCTTGTAAAATTAATCCGGGGACATACTGTAGGTTTCTGTGTAGTAGAACCCGCAATTTTTTTTTAATTTTTATATTTAGTTTTTAAATCAAAAAGCTTTCTGGTTGTATTATGATGTGTTGTGATTTTTTTCCTTTTGGGAAAATGAACTGTCATATTACCTGAACTGTCATATTACCTGAACTGTCATATCAACTGATAAGAAAGTCATTTCACAACCTGAACCTGTTATTTCATATCAATTGTTAAATGAAGTTGAAATGTCATATTTTCCAACTTTTCACATACAAGGTAATTTGATTTTTGCTTTATGATTGTAAATAAAAAAGTGACTATAATATTTGAATATTATTATGATTAGAGGAAGCATTTGGTTGCTTTGCTCGGACCTGCATTTAAGGTCTAAGGCGTTGGTGTGGTGGCTCTCGCGCGCTCGTAAATTTCCCTCGCCATAAATCGCCACGACACGGACATATTACCATTTTAATTTTTTGGTTTATATGGAAAGTAATGTGCGCATTAAGCACAATCATGACATTTCCGAGTAAATTGGGTTACGATTTACAGATATGGCTAGGCGGTTTATTGTATCAGCATCGTTTCTGTAAAAAATCCCTGTATATGGGCACGTGTTTACTCTTTATGCCTCGCCCAGTATTTTTTTTAATTACTCCGGGATGATACGCACGATGAGTGCGCCATGTGGCACATGCCACAGCCAGATGACATGCCGCTTATCAGATCGATGGGGGGCGGCCCGCATGCCACCCTTGCGAATCTGAATTTTAAATCCAAGACGGACAGTTAGCTTTTACGAGAGACAGCGAGGTTGTAAACTTTCGAACGGAGATTTCGCGTAAAAGAGCCATTAAAACGCGACGGGCTTAAATGGCAAAAATACAATAAAACGAAGAACAATGAGAGACTGCCGGCGGACTCGTGAGATTATGTCAGCGGATGAAATTTCAGAATATCAACGCTTGAAAAGCTTAATTGAAAACGAACAACTTGAATTATTTCGCCGATTCGGTGTTGCTCGTTTATCAAAGACAATGCGCGATTCAGCGAAAAACGAAGATGGTATCGAGCGAAAAAAGACAACAAACACTGTTATCTGGCAGGCCATTGTGATTTACTTTGTAAAATTTTTCGATACATTTCAACACTTGAACTGGTAATTAATAGAATTAATTAATATT